AGAGGCACCATGTGCTCGGCACCTGGATAAGACCCTCCCTGCGTTATCCAAAAGGCAGTGCCTCACTTATTCTACATCACGTTGGCCATCTCAAGGACAGCGTCATCAGCCTTATTTTCCGGAAAAAGGAACCTAAGACTTGGAAGGTGACTTTGAAGTATTTTAACCCAGATAGTCTGACTATAGAGCTTACCCTTCTAACCCCCGCATGTATGATCAGACCGGTGACATCATTCTGAAGTATAAAGAAGGAAGTACAGACTGTTTGGGGGACCCACCCTGCTTGGGTGGGGAAGAAGAGGCAAGGTAGAGGAGGACGGAGGAGCCACACCATGCCAGTCCCCTGCTGTGAATCCCAGGGATGACCGTGGCATGTAAGGGCAGGTGCCGAGAGCCCCTCCTTACACTGTACTGAGCTGTTCCGTGTGAGGGGAGAGGTGCACCAGCTTCCTGTAGATCTCTCTACACCTTTGGGGTCCAAGAAGGGTTTCCTGCCAGCAGACAGCTGCAAAACCGTGTTTGGCTAGACCGCACGTGAACGAAGGTCAGGCTCTGGCTTTTCTCTTTGGTCCAGAGTGCAGTGGGCTTCTAGATAGTTTGCAAAGAGCAGATAGTTTACCTGATCCTGCCTGCCACCTGGAAGGTCTTTGTCTCTCTGAAGCCACAGGCAGTAATAGACACGGTGACAGACCTGTAGCACAAGGTCCTATGTCATTTATTTGGAAGGGTGTTTTAATAGTAAACCGTTGGAAAAATGGAAAGGGGGGTTGCCTTGGGACACCTGGATAGCTTGGTCAGTTAAGCATCTGTCTTCGGCTCAGGTCACGATCCCAGGGTCCTCGGATCAAGTCCCACATGGGGTTCTCTGCTCGGTGGGGAGCCTCTCCCTCTGCTTGTGTGCTTGCTTGCTCGCTCTCTCTCTGATGCATAAATAAAATCTTTAAAATAAAGAAGGGGGGTGCCTTGTAGTTTTAAAACTACAAAGCATTTATTTTTCTATTGCATAGGATCATGTTCTGTCCCCTAATTTTCAACCACTTTCAAATATTTTCTGTAAATTTCAGGTAGTATCAAAAGAAGCAGTCTGCTTTGTGGGATAGTTCCTGATTGGTTGGTTGAATGTTTACTGTTGAGTGAATGTCTACTGAGCATCTTCTATGGGCCTGGTACCATGTTTGCACGGGGGATGCAGGCATGCACAGGACAGGTGTGGTCCTCAGGTGAGTTTGCATTCTTGTGAGGCAACAGGCACATAAATAAATCACATAATAAGATGGTTTCAGACCTGGACAGCACTGAGGTAAATGGTGAGATGAAGGAAGTCCTCAGTGGATTTTTGCTTTTTATAAAAACAGCTTCATTGAGATATAATTCACATGTACAGTTGGCTCAAAGTGTAGAATTCCGTGTATGTAGTAATTTACTGGGGTTTGGTAAAACCGTCACCAGATTCTAATTTTAGAACATTTATGTCTGCCCCAAAAGAAACCTCATACTCATTAGCAACCCCTCTCCTTCTCTCTCCCATTCCCTCATTCTTAGCCACTAATCTACTTTCTGTCCCTATAAATTTGCCTATTCTGGACGTTTCAAATCAATGGAAGATCCCGTAAGTGGTCTTTTGTGACTGGCTTTTCTCACTTTGCATAATTTTATCAAATTCGTCCATGTTGTAGCAGGTCTCAGGATTTCATTTCTTTTTATTGTCAGGCAATACTCTCTTGTATGGGTATGCCACATTTTATGTATTTGTTCACGGACATTTGAGTTATTTCCATCTGTCAACTCTTATGAGTAATGCTCCTGTGACCTTTTGTGTACGAATCACGTGGATGTGTATTTTCATTTCTCTTGGGTATATGCCTAGGAATAGAATTGCTGGGTCGTCCGGTAACCGTGTTTGATCTTAAGAGGAACTGCCAGATATTTTCCACAGCTGCTGCCCCATTTTACATTTCCAGCAGGAGTGTAGGAGGGTTCCAGCTCCCCAGCCATCACACACTTGGTTACTACGTGTCTTTTACTATACACCGTGGGTTTGAAGGAGTAATTTGTGTCGGTTTTGGCATTTCCCTGATGACTAATGATGTCCAGCATCTTTTCATATGGTTATTGCTCATTTGTGTATCTTACTTGGAGAAATGCTTTTTGAAGTCCCTGGGTCATTTTTAATTGGATTATTTGTCTTTTGTTGTTGAATTCTAAGAGTTGTTTGTTTTCTGTATGCAGGTCCTTATCAGGTGTAGGAGTGCAAATATCTTCTCCCATTCTGTAGTTTGTCTTTTCATTTTGTTCTGGTATCATTTGCAGCACAAATGTTTTAATTGATAGATAATACCATGTTAGTTTCAGGTGTACAACATAATGATTTGATATTCACAGGTGCAAGACAGTGACCACGGTAAGTCTAGTTTAAATTTCACCTTTCAGTGAAGTCCAATTCATTTGATTTTTCTTTTGTCACTTGTGCTTTTGGCATTCTAAGAAACCATCACCAAATCAAAGGTCACAAAAAGTTTATCTCTAGGTTTTATTCTAAAAGTTAATAGTTTTAACACTTATGTTCAGGTCTTTGATCCATTTTTAATTAATATTTGTATATGGTGTGAGGTAAGAGCCCAGATTCGTTCTCGTTCTTTTGTATGTGAAATGTCCAGTTGTGTCTGCATCACTTGTTGAAAAGAACATTCATTCCTCCATTGGATAGCCTGTATCCTTGTTAAGAATTAATTGGCCGTAGACACATGGCCAATTTATTCTGGACTCTCAATTCTATTCCATTATTCTATATGCCTATCCTTATGTGAGTACCATGCTATCTTGATTACTATAACTTCTGAATAGGAGGTTTTAAAGTCAAGAAGATGAGTCTTCTAATTTTATTCTTTTTTCCACATTGTTTTGGCTATTCTGTGTCTCTTATATTTCCATGCTTATTTTAGGATTAGATTATCATTTTCTGCAGAAAGCCATCTGGGATTCTCCTCGGAATTATATTGAATCTGTAGATCAGTTTGGGGAATATTGACATTTTAATATTAGTCTTAATTCGTGAACGCGGTATGCTTTTGTATTTATTTAGATTGTCTTTCTTTCCACCATGTTTTATAGTTTTTAGTGTGCGTCTTGCACTTCTTGTGTTAAATTTATGCCTAAGCATTTTATTCTTTTTTTTTTTTCAAGATTTTATTTATTTATTTATTTATTTGACAGACAGAGATCACAAATAGGCAGAGGGGCAGGCAGAGAGAGAGAGAGAGAGAGAGAGAGAGAGAAGAGGAAGCAGGCTCTCTGCTGAGCAGAGAGCCCCACATGGGGCTCGATCCCAGGATGCTGGGATCATGACCTGAGCCGAAGGCAGAGGCTTTAACCCACTGAGCCATCCAGGCGCCCCTAAGTATTTTATTCTTTTTGATGATATTGTCAGTGGGAGCTCTTTGTTTGTTTTTGTTTTGTTTTTGTCAAAGTGTAGTTGATACGCAGTGTTACACTGGTTGCAGGTGTAGGACCCAGTACGCCAGCGTCTCCATGTGTTAGACTATGCTCACCGCAAGTGTAGCTACTGTCTGTCACCAGACAGCGCCAGTACAATGTCATTGATATGTTCCCTATGCTGTACTTTTAACTCCAATGATTTATTCTTTCCATAACTGGAAACCTGTGTCTCCCACTCCCTTTCCCCATCTTCCCATTTTGCTCATCTTCTCAACCCCTTCCCTCTGCCAACCATCATCATTTCCCTGTAGTATAAATGGAAGCTTTTTTAAAAGATCTTATTTTATTTTATTTGTTTATTTATTTTTGAAAGACCCTTGAGAGAGTGTTTGAAGATTTTATTTATTTGACTGAGAGAGAGAGAGAGAGTACACACAAGCAAGGGGAGCAGCAGAGGAAGAGGGAGAAGCAGGCTCCCCATGGAGCAAGGAGCCCAATGAGGGCTCGATCCCAGGACTCTGGGATCATGACCTGAGCCGAAGGCAGACTCTTAACTGACTGAGCCACCCAGGCGCCCCAAGATCTTATTTATTTATTTTAGAGAGAGAGGGAGAAAGAGAATCCCGTATAGACTCCACACTGTGTGGGGAGCCTTACATGGGGCTTTGTCTCACGACCCTGAAGATCATGACCTGTGCCAAAATCAAGAGTTGGGCACTTAACCAGCTGAGCCACTCAGGGGCCCCTAAATGGCAGCTTGGTAAAATTTCATTTTGGAACGTTCATTTCTACTGTATAGAAATCCAACAGACTTTGGTATATTGATCTGTACCCTGCAGTTTATTAGTGCAATAGTTTTTTAGTGAATTGCTTGGGATTTTCCATACACAGGGTCATCTACAAATATGTCCTCCTTATGTCCTCCTTCCCAAGCTAGACGACTTTTGTTAGGTACTGGAGTACGATATCGAGTAAGAATGGTGAGAATGGACACCCTGGGCTTGTTCCTGACCTTGGAGAGAAACCATCCAGTCTCATACTATATTCCAGGGGGTTTGAACACCTCAGTGCTATTTCAGTCTCTAGTGCCAACTCTGAGGCTTTGCCCATGACACTTACTGTCGTTCCCTAAACCCACAGAAACGAGGAGGTTGACTCAAAACCTCAAAAGGAGGTTGACTCAAAAATGTATGACTTTCATTCCAGTTCATACATCCTGCACGTCCATGATTCTGCTTTGGTATTCTTGCTTCTTAGCCAAGTTCCCTTAGACTCAGCTCATCAGACAGAGTAAAGAGGACGCTGGAAATATTGGCAGATTCTTTTTCCATAGCCACTTTGACTGCCTTTGACTTCCACAATTCTGAACAACCTAATTTAGATGGAAATTGCAGAAATTAAAACACGTAAGCAGAAGTGTTTCAGTAGATCCGTCTTTCCTTTCCTTTGTAACTAAATAGCCAGGGAAGATTTGTTTAGGGACGATGCTCGTTTCTGCAGAAGGTCCACGGAGCACAGCTTCTTCCTACCCTGCTTCTAACCATTAGTCCTCTCCTTGTTTTCAGACTCTCAGCGTTCTCATCTCTCCTCCTTCACCATGAAGCTGAAGGACAAATTCCACTCGCCCAAAATCAAGAGAACGCCATCAAAGAAGGGAAAACCAGCCGAGGTGTCTGTGAAAAATCCAGAGAAGCCTGTGAGCAAAGTAAGCCGACTCTCTCTAGGTGTTCCTCCCGGCCTTCGCCTCCTTCGAACAGTATGAGTTTGTGCTGTTTTTAAGTTCGTTCCCTGGGGATTCAGCTTTCCGTGCCAAACACCTGCTCCATAGCTACTCCATAGCGTTTGTGCTGCTAGGCAGGGACTGTCCGCGTCCTTGTGCAGTATGAGCCTATAGGATGGTGAGTGTTTGTCCTGTTAATCAGAGTCGAGTTCAGTCGGCTAGAACAGTTCTCCTCTTCCAGATGTGTCATCCTCTGGGCATGTAAAACAGCTCGGCGCACCGTGTTTACACCCCATGGTGCTGCCTCCCTGCCCCAGATGGCCCCGTGTTGCCCTAGCACACGCACACTTAGAGGGAGGCATGTGACATCCAGAACTTCCTTCATTAGGCTTCAGGGCCCATGCTCTGAGACACGCCAAATCCTTAAAGCCCGGCCAAGGATGTCCTCAAGCACCGGCAACCTGAGCAGGGCTGGCTGGGCCGGCCGTGTCAGAACAGCGGTAGACGTTCACCTCCCCCGCTTCAGCCTCAAACGGCCATTTCAAGCTCTGTAGGAATCCAGGTTTCCTCTCTTCCAGGAGGCAACAGACAGATTTCTACCAGAGGGCTACCCTCTCCCCTTGGATCTGGAGCAGCAGGCAGTAGAATTTATGTCCACCAGTGCTGTGGCTTCCAGGTCTCAGAGGCAGAAGGTCAGTGTGACGCTAAGAACAATTGGGTTTGCCTTGCCTTCTACTGCAGAATCCTGGGCCGTGGTTTTGGGGCTGGAAAGAAAAAGCTACTGCACTATCCTTGTGTTCAGTTGGGCGGCAGCTGTGGGCCTCACTGTTCAGGAAACAGTCCAAGGGGCCTTGAGTAAAATGAAGTTTATCCAAGCCCCTGTGGTCTTTGGAGAGAGCTCAGCATTCCGTGACGAAAGCGTGGGGGTCCTTTCTGGGGTTGTTTGGGTATACTGCTTGGGTCCGGCGGATTCTGGGGGAGGTGGGTGAGTCTCAGCTCTCCAGACCCGCTCTTCTTTCCTTGAGCTGCTCAGGGGATGGGACTCATTAGGGAGGAGCGTCTGCTGGGAAAGGCGCTGTGTTACACATCTGCGAGACTGTGTGCGGCGAGGAAGCACAGAACCAAGTACTGAGAACCGGGGACACCTTTTGTGCTGCTAACATTTGTCCAGACTTGCCTTAGCCCCCCTGCTCGGTGCTTTGCGCTTACTCTCTCACTGAACACTCACAGCGACCCTGGGAGGTGGAAACTTACCTTGCAGAAGCGGAAACTGAGGCTGTAGAGGTAGGAAGCCTTAGCCACTGTCGCGCAGGAAGAGGTAGTGGAGCTGAGGTGAGCTCGGGCTGCCTGACACCCTCGTCAGTGCCTGTGGGGCACGGCGCTTCCTCTTTATGAAAGCCAGAATTGATGTTGGAATGTCCTACAAATCCAGGTGGCGACTCTCACACACGAAACAGAGAAGTAGAATTAACCATAGTAATGTAAAATAAAAGGAAGCCCATGGACAAATGCATCCAAACGCTCCGGTGCATGTCACACCTGCACTTGGACACCGCCGGCAGACGCTGCCCCATTACGTAGACACGTCGGCCTTGACTCGTGGAGTGTACCTATATTTTTGTTTTTGTTTTGACCAGAATATCGTAAAATTCTAGTTAAAAGTGGAGAACATTAAAGTCTGAAGTCCAGAAGTCTCTTGCTGAATAACCCTTTTCCCAAAGGAGGCTGAAGAAGGTCAAGTGTTGTTTGTTTGACAGATTGATGAAACCCCGGACTGCAGCGGAGTAGGAAAACAGAAGACTTGGTGTGCAGCACAGTCATTTTCTGGTTCAGTCTCTTCAGCAACCTCTTGGAGCTGAGTTTGGTTAAAAAACAAACCAAAAACAACAACCCCAAGCAGTGTCCACGGCTGGGTAGCGTAGCGCAGGCAGCCCGGGGAAGAGCGGCCGTGTCCTGCTGGTCCCCTCTGATAAGAGACTGTCTCTCCACTCCGTTCTTGGAGCGGTTCCCCCTTTCTTCATCTCTCCGAGAGATGGCACGGGGGCACATTCAGTGTGAAAGTGTCCTTCACTCAGGGTGAGTTCCTGCAAATCCCAGGGGACATTGGCAGTGTCTAGAGACATTTTTGGTTGTCAGTACTAGGCTGGTAAAGCAGGTGCTGCTGGGTCTGGTGGGTACAAGCCGGGGATGCTGGTGAACGTCCCACACAGTCCAGCCCCCCTGCAGCAGCGGATATCCACCGCAAGATGTCCGTAATGCTGCAGCTGAGAGCCCATCCTGTGGCAGGGGCTGTAGGTACGATCTTCACCGGGGAAGAGAGTTCCTCCAGGTGTGGGTTGTCATCCTTTAAGAAGGGTTGAATTACCCTGCTCTGCCCCACGTCAGCTGCCCAAGACCGTGTGAGTACACACCTGATTAGTAGAAACCCACAGGCAGAAGTGGAAGTGCCGGCGAATCTGCCAACACGTGTGAACTTAGAAGATGCTGTTGGAGAAATCTGAAAATACATTTGTCATTGGCTCTCATTATTATTGATTACTAACTCTCTCTCTTACCTCTTAGAGAATATTTCCATATATGTTCTCATTTTAATCCCAGTTTATATGCATGGCATTCTGTGTTTGTTGATTTTATTTTTACTTTTTTTAAACTAGATTCCACACCCAACGTGGGGCTTGAACTCATGACCCTGAGATCATGAGTCGCATGCCCTACTGCCCAGGCCAGCTAGGCGCCCCAGCATTCCCTGTTTAAATACTGGGGAACTGCAGCTCAGGAGGTCACAGATTCAGATTCATCTCCAGCTTCCGGGGGGTCTCTCTCTGCCCAGGCCCTGTCCTGGGTGATTCTACACTCTGTCCTGTTTGCTCCTCACTGTAACTGTGTGCAAAAGCTTCTTTATTGCTCATATACAGAGTCTAGGCTCTGGCCCAAGTATTCTCCATCAAAATCTGGTTTTATTTTATGAACTACTTCCATGTGCTTTCTCACTCACTGCCCCACATCAGGCTCTGTAGGTCACCCAGGTTAGGGATTAGCCTCCCTGTTTTGCAGATGAGCCTGAAGCCAGCGGTCCCCAAGCCCAGCGGTGGCTTAGGTTCTAGGCCCTCCCCCAGCACCACGACCCTCAGGCAGTTGCCGGGTTTGTGGATGGACGGTGGCGTCATCCCCCATAGCAGGAGGGGACACCCCGGTACAACCAGGTGACGTCAGCGGAGCCAAGGCTCTGGGTTCCCAGCTCTAGCACGAGCTCTGTCTAGGTGTCTCCCTGTAAACTCTTCTGACCGCTGGCTGCATTTGCAAGACGAGGAGCTGTTCAGAGGCCGAGGGGCTGTGACCGGACCGCGCTCAGGCTGATGGTTCTGGGAGTGCAGTTCGCTGGAAGCCCGGCGGATGGGACCTGACGCTGCTAAGTTGTCAGCTCCTTTAGCAGGAGTGCGGTGCAGGCTGGCGCTTCAGTGGCTCATTTGATCTCTGCAAAGCACCGGAAGATTCTTTGTGCTCAGAAGTGCCTTCCTGCCCCTTTTGGGTGCCCCCCATCTCCAGGTCAGCCCCTTTCTCCCTGGCAAACCTGATGACACATTTTCTCATGATGTTTCCTGCCTCCTCCCCGACTTTCACCATCCCTGGCTCCAGACATGTCCTGGTGTGCTGAGATGGGCAGGGTTGTGGTCAGGGCCCTCTAGCCAGACTGGCCAGCTGGGGTTTCAGCCACACTGATGTCTGGGTGTGATTCCTTCATAGTCACGTCCTTCCTGGCCCTGGCGAGCAGGGGCAGAGCAGAAAGCTCCTGTGTCCATGAGGTCCATGAGGTGGGAAACAAGAGCCTGACCTCTTGGAAACATACAGTGAATAAATGTGTCCGATTGTTTAAAAAAGAAAAAAAAAGAGAAAAGGTGAGGGTAAAGCGGCCAGTGATGGGGGTGGGGAAGGGGTGCCCCTCCCCTTAGAGAACTTCATCCTTGGGGTCTACAGACCACCTTTGGGGAAGTACCCCATTGAGGGTGGAAGTTGCCTCACCAAAGAAGCTGTCTACTTCTTGATCCCATTTGTATGTTTGTCTTTTGATATTCCCACTCATTAAACATGGCAACTTAAATAAATTTACACTGACATTCCCCATTGTTTAAGAAGAGAGCTAGTGTTCCGAATCATAATTACTTCTTGTTATATATGATTTATCTATTTACATATTATTGTTTAAATCAGCTTTTTCTAGGATGTTCTTCTTGCCCTTAGTTGCTTTTATTAATGTATTCGCTGGACGCCACAGAGCCCACAGGTGGCAATTTTCCTCCTATACAGCGATCGTAATTTGCACTGAACATGTAACCGGTTTCACTTGGGTAGGGCATCTGTTTTATAAATGGCCCTCGATCTCCCTTCCCTGCCAGCCAGCCGGGACCTGGGTTGCTGACATTAGGGCCAATAGAGAGGGAGGTTGGGGAAAGGAACCGAGGTGCGCGTGTACCCACTGACTGTGGATTCGAGGTATCCTGTAGTCGTAGAGAAAAGATTTGGGCATGAGAATTTGAATGCTGGTAAGCGTAGGGCTCTGTATGTTGTTTTCCTCTTAGCTGGGCTTTCTGCAGGAGCAGAGGGACTGAGTGCTGTTCACGTTTGCCGCCCAAGCAGCGACTGCATCGTTGCCACCTGCTCAGACTCCTTTGCCTTTTCACCCCAGCGCATCCGCCCCTTCTAACCCTGGGGTTTCTAGACCCTTTGAGAGAACCATGTCATGTCATTGAGAGGGGGCTGCCTCTTTGGGTTGAATGTGGGACTCCAGTGAGGGGTCCTGGGAAGATGGGTTTTGAACACAAATGCCTCCGCCCATCTTGCATAGTCCCTCAGGTCTTTGAAAGGCCTGGGATCTCTGGATTTGATTTACTGGATAGATAAGCACCAGGAGGAGATCTAACTGTTGGTTTTCTAAGCTTCTACAGCTGTGAGCAAATTAGTCCTCCCTACGCTTAATGAGATGAGTGGTGATATCTCAGTGAGGTAGAGGAGGAGAAGCCATTTTTAAGACCTCAGGCCACGTCAGTCTGTATGAGGAAGGGAATGCAGGAGGATCTCAGTGAACTGTCTTGGTGCACGCTCCCTTTTCCTTCCTTCAAGCCTAGCCTCTGTACCCTGACTGCAGTCCTTAGAAGGTAATTTGGCTTGGTTTCTGCAGCAAGAAGCCTTTTCTCTTTGCACCAGTGTCGAGCTAGTTTATAGGAAATCATACTTTATTTTTCTCAAAATAGCTCCCTTTAATCTCTCTCCTCCCTCCTTATGCTTAACATTTCCTTTCAGAACCTGAGCTGGCTGGAAGAGAAAGAGAAGGAAGTTGTTAGTGCCTTGCGCTACTTTAAGACCATTGTGGACAAAATGGCTATTGATAAGAAGGTCCTGGAGATGCTTCCAGGGTCAGCCAGCAAGGTGCTGGAGGCCATCTTACCGCTGGTGCAGAACGATCCTCGAACTCAGCACAGGTGAGTTGCGCCAAAGTCCTTAGCTGTGTCAGAGCAAGGGAGGCCTACGGGCATCTTGGTTTGGGGACACTTCAAACTCCGGGCTTCTAGGGATTGGGGAGAATGTTGGGAGGGAAAGGGGGCCCCCTCTCTTACCTCCACAGCTATGACTTGATGCTCTCCCAAGGTTGAGGTCGATGTGGCTCATGAGGCCTTGACACTGAGGGAGATCTCTTGCCTTGCTGGGGATGTAGCTGCGGGTAAGTGTGTGGTGGTTTCTTTGCCTCGGGTCATTGGCAGTAATCACACCGAGACTTGGACACATAGCTAGTACCCTTCCTTGGGTTTATTGTAGCATGAAATCTTACGAATATCTAGCCTGGTAGAAACCTCGACTGCTTAGCTGCTTAGGCCAAAAGAGAGAAGAATCCCATTCGAGCGTGGATTCATGAGACATTCCACTGTGTCAAGCCAGGATCTCCCAGACAGCGCCCGGAGCCCCTGGAAGCCAGGTGTGTGGCGTGGAGTCTGCCTTCTTCCCAGGGAGCTTTTGCGGAGGAACACTTCCCCTGCTAGAGTGCATTTTCCCCTTAAAGGCTGGGAGCAGCTTGTTCCCGTCTCTGTTGTTAGGAAAGGAATATTAAATGTAATCGTATGTGAGAACCTCGCAGGCGCTTTTCCTTTGAGAGGCTATCAGATGCCTGCTGGCTTTGTGTTTCTTTTCTGGTACCTGCTCAGGATCAACGCATCTCTGTTTTCAGCTCCTTGAGATGGTTTCCTGTTCATACAGCCCCGTGAGACTGAGCTTTTATGAACCTCTTTCAGAACTTGGTAGTTTCTTCTTCTGGGAGATAGTGCAAACAGTGTCTTTATTTCCAAGAAGCTCTCTGCACTGGGGCTTCGGCCGGCCTTGGGGTCCCAGCCGCCCCCTGCAGATTGTACTCTTCGGGCCATCTGGTGGCTGAGAACAAAACATTGGTATGGCTTTGCTTTGCTGCTGTCCTCACTTCTCCAGGCCATGCTGCTGTCCCCGAGGAGGAACCTGAGGGTCCCGGCGTGCCCTGCTCAGTTGCCACACACACACGGAGTGCTTTGTGTGCTGGCCTCCAGACCGAGGACTGTGTCTCCCTGGTAGTGAGCCCCGTGCCCAGCTCGTAGAGGGCCCCACGCGGTTCTCCTCTGAGGCAGTGTGCCTCAAGGATGCTAGATGTGTAGATGGCTTCGCTTTTTATGCCCTTTTCTCCTGCACCTCTACCCGTGAGATGGTCCCTACCACGGGGGAGTTAGAATCCTGTGGAAAAAAATCAACTTTCCCACATGTGATAAGATGCTAATTTTAGGGGCGCCTGGGTGGCTCAGTGGGTTAAGCTGCTGCCTTCGGCTCAGGTCATGATCTCAGAGTCCTGGGATCGAGCCCCGCATCGGGCTCTCTGCTCTCTAGGGGAGCCTGCTTCCTCCTCTCTCTCTGCCTGCTTGTGATCTCTCTGTCAAATAAATAAATAAAATCTTTAAAAAAAAAAAAAAAAAGATGCTAATTTTATGGTACCAAATGGAAGCTCTGTTGGGATTTGAAAGAGGGAGAGTTAGAGGAGAGCCCGTGGTCCAGTGGAACTTGCCAGAGCAGGAGATGCTGGGGCAGGGCCTGAAGGAAAGGTAGGAATTGGATAGGCCTTGGGGGCAGGGGAGCAGGAAAGGCAAGGGCCTGAGGCTGGCGGGGCACAGGTAGGAGACACGGGAGGAGACACGGCAGTCGTGTAGCGCAGAGCGTGGGGCCTGACTGAGGGGCTGTGGGGAATCGGGGCTCAGGCGCTGAGCCTCTCTGGGGGGTCGAGAGTGAACAGTGCTGAACGTGTGTGGCTGCTGGGGCTGTTGTTCCTGGACCTGGGCAGTTCCCTTCTGGACATGCCAACACGGGAGGAATGGATTAAGGGATGGCACACTGGTTTGGGGTTTTTTTTTTTTTTTTTTTGGTCTATGGGGATTTTTATAGGTATTTTGTAATTGATGAACTAGCGATAAAATGTCTAGAAACGTTTCCTAGAGGGAAGCAAACGCCTGGATGTGGGCGTGAGGAGTGAGGACTTTCCTCAGGTAGTCCTTGGGCTGATCCCACTTCCAGGACTTTTCTTCCTGAAATTCTTGTAAAACCAACTGATATTTTTCTTGGTCACCTTGATAGCTCCTCCTCGAAGTTTCCTCTTTGATTTCTTCCATCCTGTCATTCCTCTCAGTGCAGTTTATAAACTGGGAAGGTGCTTTCCTGTCTTCTTCCCCGAGCTTTCTCTGTGGGGTGGTCCTAGCTGGCGGGCTCTCGGTCGCCCTCCCCTAGGGTGCTGGGACAGTGGTGGACCAGCCTTGGAACAGGCCCCTGGGCCGCTGAGTGTGAGCAGCGCCCGGAGCCTTCTCCCACGCGGTGGGATATCTGGATCCGTTCTGGCCTTCAGTGCGGATGGCTCCGCTCTGTTTCCGAAGCAGACCGGCCACTGGTCCGCTGGACATGGTCACAGTCCAGGAACCTCCTTTCTCTCTGAGTGTCTTAGCCCCTGACACAGGAATATTCTGCTTCCAAGGTAACACAGTTGCCAGATTCGTCAGATGCTTTCAGGGAAGCGTTGCCGTTTGGTGCAGCTAGAAATTGTTATGGAAAAGTGTCTCCCTGCCTCCTTTTCGGCTTAGCCTGGCCAGTAGTTCAGCAGTGTGGTTGGTGCTTTGGTGGGATCCCTCAGGGGAGCTTTGGCAGAAGGAGGCAGTCTTTGTTCACAGAGCCCTCACCTGGCCCTGCTTGAAGCGAGGAGGAGGGCTGGCTGTGCACGCGCGCGCACACACACACACACACACACACACACCCCACCCCCGCAGGGTGGTGCCACCTCACGTCCTTCCCCGGGGAAGACTGGGTTCTTGTCTCCCTCCCACCACCCTCCTTCCCGAGAGAGTGGGTCCAACAAGAACTTGTCACTCCTGTTACTCTGTGAGGCAGCCAAGCCCCGGCTCTCTCAGGCCCTTTGGTAAACTGTCCTTGTTTCTAATGGGGCCCTAGGAGCTGCCTTTCATTCTTTCTGGCTGTTCTGTTTCTCCTGTTGGAACATGCACGGAGTGGAATGCCTGGCTAGATGGAAGTTGTCGTTTTTTCCATCCTACCTGATACTGAACTTCTCGCTAGAGCGTTGTTTGGTTCAGGTTTTTGTTTGAAATAGCTTTGTTTTTACAACCTGTTTGGGTTTTTTTGTTGTTGGGTTTGTTTTTGGTTTATGTTTTTTTTTTTTTTTTTAGATTTTATTTATTTATTTGAGAGTGTAAACACGGGGTGGGGGCAGGAGGTGGGCAGGGAAGAGAGGGAGAAGCAGGCTTCCCAACTGAGCAGGGAGCCCAATGCGGGGCTTGATTCCAGGACCCTGGGATCATAACCTGAGCCAAAGGCAGACACTTAACCTGCTGAGCCACCCGGGTACCCTTTTAGAACCTGTTTTAATCATATCTTACAATATTATATCTTTTTCTCAAAATTCTGTCTTTGGCTTTTAAATGTCTACCTCATTCTTTTTCTCCCCCTGCTGCTTTTTTAAGTGGAGAAAGGGGCCTCCCCCAAATCTTCCATAGTTTTACTCTTCCTCTCTTATGATATATAATATTTAAAATGGAAAAGTAATCCTTTCCATAATTCCTAGAGAAAATTATCTTTAGTAATCTAAAAATGTGTAGGAGATCTGGGATGCCTGGGTGGCTCAGTTGTTAAGCATCTGCCTTTGGCTCAGGTCATGATCCCAGGGTCCTGGCGTCGAGCCCCGCATTGGACTCCCTGCTCGGCGGGGAGCCTGCTTCTCCCTCTCCCGCTCCCCCTGCTTGTGTTCCCTCTCTCGCTGTGTCTCTTCTGTGTCAAGTAAATAAAAACTTAAAAAAAAAAATGTGTAGGAGATCTAAAACGTCTACACTGGGGCCTCCCCTCCCCAATCACTGAGGCGTCCAGGAGTCTCCGGGCCTTGCGCTCTGTGTGTGGGGTAATCACAGTGTGCAGTCGACGCCTCCCCCACCACGGGCCTCCTCGCCTCTCATCTGTCGTCTTGAAACGCTCTTAGTGCGCTGCTCTGGCGTGTCTGCTGCGGAGTAACTGCAGGGATGATGGGGCTGAGCCCAGTGAGGGAGTTCTAGCGACTTACAGACCTGTCGGAGCTCGCGTTTAGAGGCTGCTGCAGTAACGGATCCTGCCTGTTGGCTCCTTGTGACACATTTAACGTGTTAGTCTGATGGAAAACAAGACTGGTACAGTGCTTTGACCCGTGATTAGCAGCGAGGAGGAGGGGAAGGGGGGGCGCTCTTTGACAGAGACCGGACTCTCTTAGGATGTGAAGTTTGAAGAAGTATAAAAACTCATGTTGGAATTTTCGTATGTTCCATTTGGGAAGTGAAAAAATTTTATAACAGACTAGAATATAAAGCTCCGTATGGCATTTGTGGGCTGTAAGGGCCTAGGTCCTGGGGGTGGGGAGTGTTACCAAAAAGGGGGTGTGGCTCTTAAAGACAGATGGAGAAACATGCCCTCGTCACCGAGAAACTGGTTCCGGACTAAACAGTCGCTTCAGGTGAGGGTCGCTTTAGATGTTTAACTTTCTTTACAAACTCTTCTCTGCCCCCCAGCTCAGCCCTCTCCTCCTGCCATAGCCGAGTGTACCAAAGTCTCGCCAATCTCATCCGTTGGTCTGACCAAGTGATGCTAGAAGGTGTGAACTCAGAAGATAAAGAGGCGGTGACAACCGTGAAGGGGGTCATCAAGGCTGTGCTGGATGGAGTGAAGGTAGGACGCAAGCGCCGGGCAGCCTGCCTGCTGGCGTCTGTCACACAAGACCTTGTTCCCGAACCGAACACATTAGAACGCACGTTCTCCCAGCGTCTCCGGTGTGGGTGTGCTGCTCTGTCCCATAGCCGTTCGCTTCTCTCTTACAGCAATAGAAGCCTTTGGAGTGCTCGTCTCCATAGCTGGAAAGGCTGCCGGAAGCAGTCGGACTTTATTGAGCACATATTAAATCTTCAGTGAGCCTTTATATCACAGCTCTGGCTGTGCGTGCTTGCTGGCTAGACAAAAGGCAGAGGAAATTGTTTTTGCACTGACTTTTTGCAAAATTCTCAGCAATCTCGCTATCTTTTCATGTTATAAGAACTTCTGGGATTCTTGGTAGAAAAGCGGGATTGAGATGAGTAAGAAGTGAAACTGTCTGGATTTGAAATCCTTGATGCAGTCTGTGACTTTACTAGCCAGGGAAATCAGAAACAGCATGGTGGGAAATTGTGAATTACAGTTAAGGTGGGAGGTGAAGGCCGTAGAGGGTCTGGAATTGGGGTCCGTGGGACAAACTCTGATTTAGAGACAATAAGTCCTGGTGGGTGAGGAGCAAGGCAGAATATTAAGCATGAAGTGGGTGAGGGCCTTTGGGTCAGTATTAGGGCTGTGAGCAGTGGGAAAGTAGAGACCCTGCTATCTTGTGAGGCCATATTATTATGTAGTGGAAAGAAGGCTAGTCTGGGGCCTGGCTGGGTTTGAATCCCAAGTTCACTCCTTACTAGTCTGTGAAGTTGGGCAATTTACTCAAAGACTTTGTACCTTAATTAACTCATCTATAAAATGGGTATAATAACAGTGCCTTATATCCTAGGGTTGTGGGAAGTATTAAATTAGTTTCTACATATAAAGCTTTTAGAACAAAGACTGGCGCACACTAAGCACTCAGACTTTAACTGCTTTCTTTTTTTCTCTTTACTAATTTTGTGGTGCTGAGTGTATGCTTTAGAAACTAATCTCTTGTCTTGGGGGAATTAAAAAAAAATAGCTGTGTCATTCTCCTTTCTACACCCTTCAGTCCAAAACTGTAGCTGAGGTACGTAAAAAATACCTTTTCCACTCAACCCTGCTATCAGATTCCTAAAAGCTGCCTCCTCTGATTCTGGAGAGTGGAATAAAGGAGCCTCCCACACATGGTAAAAACTGTAGAGGAAAGGCTAAGAAAGCATTGCTTAATGTTTTGAATTGCTCCAGAATGAACTGTGTCGATTGGGGAGGTCTTGGTGGCTCCCTCCCTCCAGCTCCAGGGAAGGAGCTGCCATGTCTGCTGGGAGCGTCATGGAGTTCACCTAGAGTGAGGCTTGGCTGGGTGGCAGCCAGTCTCCTCTGATGGCTCCAGGCCCTCTTCTTTCCCCAAGGTTTATGAGGTCCCACGTCGTCTGTTTTGGCCAGTGAGACTCAGGGTATAGCCCATTGTGGCTGTTGTGCAAGACCTTTGTCACCGCCCAGATTTTGGAGCGCATTCAGACGTAGTGTCCCACGGAATCTTCCCCGCAGCTCTTGGAGGCCAACAGGGCAGAAGGTGACGTGACCTGGGTCCATGCTTCCTCAGAGTCTGTAGAGATCTGGCTCACCCAGCCCTGGCTCTTCCTGTCCAGGCTTCTGGAAATGCTGTTATTGAAAGTTGTTAGTCTGCAGGTGACATTGTTCAGGTTTCCTTCTGCCGGATTATAATGATGTGCGAAACGAGTCAGAATGCCCGAAACAGATGAGATGGAGTTTCTGTGTGTAGAGCTTTGTCATGTTCCCAAGTCAGTTTCTGTTATGGAATCACTAAACCACCTCAGTATCCATTGAAAGACATGTCTAAAAGACACATTTCTGATTTCTCAAATTAACCAGTGAGAGAGGGAGAGAGAGAAACTGACAGATTATGAATGCATCTGTATCTGGAAACAAATAACTTTTCCTCAGTTGTTTTTAAAATACTTAACCCAGAACGAAGACTCTGTAGGTGATGAGCTCTGTGAATTCAGTTCCGTTTCATTTACTCAGGAAGCATTTATCGAAAACCACCTGTGCACCAGGCCGTGCGATGGCGTTGGGCATATAGTGGTAAAACAGGTACAGTCCCGGACCTGATGCCGCTTATGGTCGGAAGAAGGGAAGGGACAACAGAGGTCGTAATCTGTAATTGTAACTAGGATGAGTGTTATAAAAGAAAAAATGGCACATGGTCTTACTTGGCTTTTTGGGAGACCTTCCTTTTTTAGGGTGGTTAGTGACTCTTCCCAGAAGGAGAGACAGGCCAGAGGCAGAAGGTTGTGCAGGAGTTGGCTTAGTCCTGGAAGCTTTAGGGGTTCAGATCAGTCCAGGCTACAGTGACCGTCCAGACACTGTGCTGTTGGCGTGTGTTGCTGGGGCCTCATAGTACAGGCAGCGGACACTTTTTCCCTCCTCACGCTCATGACAGTTCTGAACGTGGGCCTCATTGCCCCTTCACAGGTGTGGGAACAGGCTCAGGCCGACAGTGGTCAGTGGCAAGGTCCTGCCTCATGCCGGGGCCTGCTGGACCCCAGGCCCTGGGCTCTCCCCATCACCCTCAGCTGCCTCCCACGTGCCCTGCCTCCATGCCGGCTGGCCTCCGGCTTCTCTGCCAGTGTCCCATCAGGCTGAGCACAACGTATAAGCCTGTGTCCTGGTGCTGTGAGAGCCTTAGTTGGCTGGGAGGGACAGGGCCCTGCAGAAACGAAACAGATTTCTGAGAATGTCTTTATCCCACTTGTAGAGTGCTGGCACGTTCCTTTAAACTGAGTCACCGCCTTTCAAGTAACTCATTCAGTTGGTAAATGGAATCCCTTTTTTTTTGAAAGGTTAAAGAAGTGTTTTACAGGATTACTTTGTTTAGTTTATTATTTATATTATTTATTACATATTATTATATTTATATTATATAATATATATTATATTTAGTTTATTATCATTTATTATTTAAAGGCCTGCATAAATGTCACTTGTTAGCCCCGTAAGCTTGGGCAAGATACTTCTGTGAGTTTCAGGTAGGTTTTTAAATATTTACCCTGAAGAACTAAAGAAGGATTAAGTAAGACAATGTATATAAAGTACCTGGTAAGTGCGAGGTGTCCAGTGAACGGTGGGTGAGTACTGTTAGCCGTGGAAACGTTAGTACCTGGGACGGCTCACATTTACCAGTTCTTGACAGTGGGTGTGGCTCTTCTCCACGCATCTCACGTCAAGAGGCAGACCTGTTACTATCCGATCTAGCCCAGGCAGGTGCTCTGCTCACGGGCCTGAGGCTCAGAGAGGATGGTGACTCCCCGAGGAAGGAATGTGAGGCCCGAACTTTCCCTGGCACTGGCTGTTGGGAGCCGAGCTCCTCAGGCTCCAGCAGGAGACCTGGGTCTTCCTTTTGCAGCCAGCGCCCCAGCTCTCCCTACCTTTGCCATCTAAATGTCAGCTTCTCCTCTCCTCTCTGTAGCACAGTCTCTTACCCACTGCCCTAGGCTCTGCTTTGTCCTCTCTGCAGACCTTCCAGGGATGTCATTTCTCAGACTGAGGGTCTCTTCCCCTAACCTCCAGCTCCCCCCAACACACACACCACTTACGCTCACACTTTTTTTTTTTTTTTTAAACCTTCTAATGCTGACAACCTTGGAGGAAAATGTGGAACACGTGCAGTTCCATTGTCTAACCATCACTCCCAAAACTGGACTTGTATACCACGCCAGACTCCCTTCGTATATGTTAACCTAAAAAAATAAAAGTTATTTACTAGCAGAATGGGTTTAGTTGGGAAGAGCAGAGAATTGCAATTCGGGACATGCAAGCTATGGCAAAACCACAGGCAAGTCCAACAAAGAAAGGAGGGGGCATGGCTTTATGGACAGGACGTTGGGAGGGGCTGTCCTGGACCGAAGTTCCCTGGAGAAGCAGGACTTCAGGGCAAGGGCGGTTCCTCACTGGCTGAGCTGCTGGGGTAGTGGATTTCTCGTTGGAGAAGCAGCGTCCTTCCTTCCCTGTTGGGTCTGTAGTCATGATTCCCTCCTATGGCGGGGACCTCAGCTGGGGTCTCTAAGTGATGGTTCTTCCTGAAATTGTTGGCAGTGGTGTGGTTCCCCTTTCTAGCCAGCCAGCTCCACTTCAGTGCGGTTTCTCTGTATTAGAATTTTCACCTACAACAGGAATACTTAAAAAGAAATATTTTTCTGACTGTATCAGTTAGGATTAGGTTTGACTACAAGAAAATCCAAAATAATACTGGTTTTTAAAAGATAAAACTTTATTTCTCCTTTGTGTACAAGAAGTTCACAGTCTGCTAGGTAGTCTGAGGCTAAATAACATTTTCATACAACGGTCAGAGATGTGGTCCTCTCCCCTCTTGCTTTCGTGCCATCCTTAGCACGTGGATTCCACCTCATGGTCCAGAATGACTGCTCAGTCTCCATCCATCATGACTGTATTCCAGCCAACGAGGAGGAAGAGAGTGTAAGAAGGTGTGTCTTCTCCATTTAAGGACGCTTCCTCAAAGGCATTACAAAATTCACTCACATTTTATTGACCAGAATTTGGTCACATGCCCAGCTGAAATTCTGTTAATAAGGAAGAACAGGTAGCACGGGGCAACTAGCTGTCACTACCACACTGACATCTCAAATAAGCCATCTCTTTTATTCCTCATTCAGCCTGTTTTACATTTTTTGATGAAAACCTTCAAGCATTTGCAGAGGAAAAGACAGGACAGTGAAGGCCTGTCCCAGAGCTTCCACAGTTGTCTGCTCACGGCCAGTCTTCTATACCTCAGCCCACTCCCCTGCGCCATGGGAAGCAAATCCCAGCTGTCTGTCCTAGCGTCTGTAAATGCCTTCGTGTGTAGCTCCAGGCCAAGGCAGGCTCTTCTGCGAGGGGCCAAGTAGTACATATTTGAAGTCTCTCAGGCTACAGTGGTTTCTGCTGTATTTTGGTCTCTGTTGCACATTCTTTGGTGTTTGTTCATTTTG